GCTCCGATACCAGTGCAATCAGACTCGACTTATTCACACTTCGTCATGCATGCAAACAGCGATACAGCAACTGGCGACATGCGCCCACACAGTACTCAAAGATATCGTGACCACATAAGAGTTCTCTTCCAACTGGCTATAGTGACTGTGCGCCCACACAACTCACTGTCGCACTCTGGATCACCCTGGATGTCCCACACGCAACACTCAGTATCCATACACAACGCACACATACACTCTGCTACAGCTCTGGCAGCACTAGCTGCCACTACCCTATCGCTATACTACACTTCTCTGCCCACTTCGTCTTCAGGCGCACTGCAGACCTCCTCGCACAAGCTGCTGAGGCGGCGCTTCCGCATGGCATCCGTAGGAATGAATGAATGGCTGGACGCAGCCTCTTGATTTATACTTCTGCACTGCATTGGTCTTCCCTATGTCCCTTGGCCCTTGGTGCACACAGTCCCAGACGGTACTTGCTGGACAGGACCGTACTGCTTAACTGGGATTGTTGACTCAGCAAGGTGGCCTACCACCACTTGACCACTTGCCTCTGTTCAACGCAAGCTCATTCCAAAAGGCCACTTCTAGAACCCTCTGACTTGGCCTTTCGGTACTGTGGCAGCTACGACTTGGCCCCTACAGGTAAGTAGCAGCTACAACCTTGACCCTTCAGGTATCCTATAGTTATGACTTCATAACCATCTAGACTCCTTCTCTATAGGTCTACCGTTCGATTCCCCTCTACCCTGTGACCTACGACAATCTACCTACCACTGGGGATCCTACAGGTCGCGGGTTCAAATCTACGGGTTGACACTGATACTGTACACAGGTAAGACGGGGAACTAGGGATCGAGCCCTAGGATCTGCATTCCCTACTGTGAACAGGTGAATACCGTTTCAAAGGTAGAGAATCCATTATCAAAGCACAAGACTTTGAGGCCGAGAATTCTCGACAAACAACCCGGTGTGGACACAGTCCTAGGCACACGGCCTAGCTTTGGTTTAACTGATCAGTAGGCAGCTTAGTCTATTGTTATGAACTTGGTTGTTTGACAGTTTGCTTGCCACTCACACACAGACGAACTTACACACGCCCATACATGCATGAGACCAAGGGGAGGAAAAGACAGAGTCCACCTGCACACAGATCAGAGATAAGCAGAGGAATAGCAACCATGCACAGATGGGGAGAATACAGAGTGTTCTCTCTCTCTGATAAACTCCCAACAACCAATCACAAATTGACAATGTGAGGATGACAATTGGAAAGTAACCCAGATGATGAGCCAACCCAACTCAATTAACTCCAATTATCGTTCCAGAGTTCAACCCAGTATCTCGCCACCCCATTACCACCCACTCCTCTCACCACTACACTCTCAGAGTCTAGCGCTGCACCGAAACAGCCTCCCAGAGGCCAGCGCCATACACCCAGATGCAGATCATGAATAGCGAAGTAGTCCTCAGTGCCGATGAGTCACTCTGACGATGAACAGGGCAGCTATGGTTGCCTGGCTGCTACCGCAGTAGCAGTACCCACATGTACTCAGTGAAGACCCTCCGATAGTCCTGCCAAACGCAGATATCCCCTGGGGATAGATGCGCTGAGCACAGCCCCAGCTATGGCTGTCTCAGGTCGGCCGGCTATGGCTGCTTCACCCCGCTGATGTCTCAGGTGCCGCTGTGGACATTCAACGCTGCAGAACTTGGTTGGCCACGAACATAGTTATACGAAAATGAAAAGTCAAAAGTCCGTTCTTGATTTTTTTACAGGACTTATAGACTTCCTAGTCTAGCCTAGACCTAGACTGGACTGACTGGACCTACCGGTACCGTTGCTGTTTCGGCCTGTCGGCCTCTACCGGACCCGGCTATAGGCTATAGGACCGTATAGCAGTGTAGGCCAGTTAGGGTCTATCTGTCCTAGGGGTAGCCCAAGCCTGCTATAGGCAGTTAGGGTAGTTGTAGGAATTCGGTTAGTACCGGGCTTGTATTTTTCCCTGAACTGCAGATCTGTCCCTCATGAATTTCCTAACAGGCAGGTCTCTCGGTTAACCCTCAGCCAAACAAATTTATGGATCTAACCCTACTGTTAGTATACAGCCTCGCAATTTGTCTCGACAGCAGAAATCAGCAAGTCATTGCAGGCTTACCCTCCCCGGGAGCGAGGACCTCCGAGCAAGGGATGCAGACGAGGTGAGCGGCGAAGGTCACCCTTCTGATCCGCCTTATACCGCAAAACAACAGACTTTGCTGTCTTGATCAGGTCTCTTGTGTAGAACCACCGGTTCTCAGAAGGGGGCTGAAACGCAAACCTGACAAAATACTGTCGGTCGGGGCCTGTGCCCCACTCATCCTTAATCCACTCCACTTTATATCCCTTGCCAGAGATCGGTGGACCAAATTGAGGGGGCCGGTCTGGAAATGCATCAGCTGGCGTAAAAGGCAGCAACTTGGATGCATGAAAGACCGGATAGGTTCGTAGATGCAGCGGAACGTCGATGACATACGACGGACCGAAAGGATCAGCGCCCATTGTATCTAGGACCTGCCACGGACCCAGGTAGCGCGGCAATAGCTTGGGAGAAATATCCTCCTCCCTTGACAACTCAGAGCTGGCCACCCAGACATAGTCACTAGTGCGGATGGGGGAAGGGCGCCTGTGGCGGTTGGCTTGTTCGATCATGGCCTTTTGGGCCTTGAACAAGTTCGCCCGATCTCTTTCCACATCCAGACGATAGCGCCTGGCGAACTCTGCAGTGCCTGGGGTAAGGTCAGGCTTAGCCTTGTCGATGATATCATCGAGAGGCTGTCGTGGCACACGTCCCCATTGTAGCCGGTAGGGACTGAAACCTGTCGAGGAGTGGACATACATGTTATATATGAGTTATGCCCTTGCTAAGTGGAGATCCCAGTCCTGCTGATCTGGAGAGATCATAAGACGTAGTAACTGGAACAGGACTTGGTTCATCACTTCAGCCAATCCATTGGCTTCAGGATGACGACCAAAAGTCATGTCCAGGCGGGAGTGTAGATATTCCTTGCAGTAGGACTGCCACTCATCGCTGCAGAATCTGGGGTCTCGATCACTAACAATGGAAGTGGGTGGTCCATGGTGTGTGACCCACCTCTCTGAAAAGGCTGCTCTCACAGCCGGTACCCTAGCTACCTGTGGCAAAGGGATGAACTCTGCGTATTTGGAAAACCTGTCCACGCAGACCATAACCT